TGAAGTTATCGGAGACCCGAAATCTACAAGAGAAAGTATTTAGCTAAATTTCGAAAATCGTCGAAAATGGGTCGAAATTTGCATGAGAAAAATTTCATTTTCGAAAAAATTTTCTAAAAATTCTGAAAAAATTCAGAGATATTATATCCCGACGTGCTGTTTCCAAAAATATACCATGTTTATGGTAACGGAGCAATATTTTCGGAAAATTCGCTGTGAAATTCGAATTTTTCGAAATTTTTAAAAATTGCGATATTTCAACGATTCTGGAAAAATGGTTTAAGTTATCGAAGAAATGAAGCCAAAAATGACTTCTGAGGTCCAAAATCTACTAGAAAATATATTTAGTTAAATTTCGAAAATCGTCGAGAATGGGTCGAAATTTGCATAATGGAGGTAATACGAATACATAATGTAAAATTTCATTTTTGAAAAATTCATCTAAAAATTCTGAAATATTTCAGGCTATAGATCCCGGGATGTTTATTCCAAAAGATAGCGTGTTTATGGTCACGGAGTAATATTTTTTTAGAACGTATCTATTATCCATTGTTGCTTAAGAATTCTTTAATTTTTGTTTAATAAAATTTAGGTTTATTTCTTGAAGTTTGTTTTCAGTTGTGGATGAAGTTGTTATTCAATTCCCTTTCAGATTTTTGAGAAAATTGCTGATCCAAACAAATCGTTAATCCGAACACACCTTTTCCCAATTAATTAGGATTATCGAGGTTCTACTGTACACTATACGTGTATTGAAAAGAACCAAATGTCACCCATGTTATGTGAAAAAGAGTATACTAGCTAAAATTTTATAAATTTTCTTATTTAGAACGAATTTCTGGTAGATAGGTAAAATTGCACAAAAATTGCCCCCCCCCTGAACGAAATCCTGTATCCGCGCCTGCTTCAGACAACCAATAAAGTGTGGTAATTTTGCTAAAATATTTATAATAATCTACATTAAAAGGCAAACAGATACATACGTATTAAAACTTGCGATTAACGAGGTTTGGATAACTTTCTAATAACCTGACTATACGGAGAACAACGTTGCACAAAAGCGTTCATTAACGTCAAAAGTTTTATGTCGCTCGACTTGAGCGGTCATTAACAACACTTTAAAGCCACACAGAGTGCTCTCTTCCCTGGTGGCGTGAAAGTGACTCCATAAGCCTAGGTCGGCCAGACGTGTTTCTTTTCAGCGGCACTTGTCGGCCCAGGGCTTGGCACTGAGGTACGCCACCCCTGTGCGATATCGGTGAAATTCCGGACCGTCGCAGACACCGCCCATTCACCGGAGTTTTGTCGCATATTTTTGGCGCCCGAGCAGGGACCTAAAGTGAACCGCCCCCGACCGTTCGCTACCACCTACGGTCATCGTCCGCTATCAGCAAACCATCGTTTTTGTACCGTCACGTTTTTTCCCGACGCTGCCGAAGCGAAAAGACCAGTTTTCATTCCGTTTTTATTTTGTTTTTGTGCCGTTCTGTGGTCGCCGCCACTGTTCTCGAAGTTATCAATCGTCACCGTCAATATTGGTGACGTCTTAGGACATCATGGGTAAAGAGGACCAAGTTCGGTTGTATTCAGCTTCACTCGCCACGTGGGTGCACTAGCTGCCGCGTCACGAGCTGGAAGCAGCCCTACGCGAGATTGGCATCTACGCCATTGGCTCCGTCGACACGCTCCGCCGGCGGCTGAAGAACTTGCATTTACGTCGTCAGGCCGAAAATGACCTGGAGATGGACTTGGAGGAGCTGGCCACGTCTCTTGGTCACCGTCGTCTCGTCTCGATCTCCACCGCCCCCATACCGACGCCGACCAGCGGGTACGTGGTGGTGAATTCGGCTGCAACGACATTGCTGACCTGTAGCCTTTCCCTACCCAGTACGACAGTACATTTGTTGAGGTGACTTGCGGAATATCGGGGAGTTGGTGAGGGACATCGACGAGTATGAGCAGCTCCAGATCGAAGTGAGGCGCCGTTTTCCAGTTCCGACTCCGAGCCGAGCTTTAGCTGCCAAGTCCATCGACGCCACATTTGTAGGAAACCAACCGCCCAGGTCCGAAACCCGTCTGTTCAGGGCCCCACTGCGAAGGCTGGAGACCATCCGTCCCCCGCAACCGTGGTCCAGACCCGTGCAGCCATCCAGAGACGTCACCGCCAAAACCACAGGCACCGTCCGATGTTGAAGATGTAGATAAACTGGACATTGCCGCTCGGCCTGCAGGAAGCCGTCTGGATTGTTGTGTTTCAGGTGTGGGCGAAGTGGAATCACGTCCAGAGACGAGCAGAGGGTTTTTGCCACGTCTAGGACTGTTCCACCAGTCAGAGCAGTCACCGCCAACGCTGCCGCCTCCGTCAAGTTTTGGAGCTGCGGATAAATCGGGCACTACCGTTCGGGCTGCTCGAATCCGCCCCGCTTATTCTGTTCGAGGTGCGGACGAACTGGAATAATGTCCAGGGAGTGCCCCGGAATAATGTCCAGGGAGTGGCCGTATGCCTGAAGAAACGAGTGTGAAGTATGCGCCAACTTCTCCGACCGAAGTCTCTGTCATCCTTTTTGGCATCGTTTACAAGGCCCTGTTGGACACCGGAGCCGTTAGCACGTTTATTGGCCAGGAAGTCCTCGCCGTGCTGCGCCAACGAAACGTTGCGCCTGTATCGGCCCCCTAGATTCGGATCTGCATGGCGCATGGCGCATGGCGACATCATCCCGTCCGCAGGAACCTTGAGATCGTTGTTTGTTAAACTGACTTATACTTTTATACTTATTTAATGTTAGCCGTAAGATTATTTCAGCCGTGTAGCTGCTGGCAGGGTATAAAAACCCGATTGTTAGAAAAATTCCGCTGTTTTATTTCTTGTTTCCGCGGGCGCTTACCAGACCACCTGGAGATCCGTGTCTCCGGTTTTAGAGCCACCCCGGTGCTCTCTCCCTAGAGAGGGAGCTGGAGCCCGACGTGTTTCTTTTTAGCGACACTAGTCGGCCCAGGGCTTGACACTGAGGCACGCCACCCCCACGCGATATCAGCGAAATTCCGGACCGACATTCACCGGAGTTTCGTCGCAGTATAAAGGTTGCTATGTAGAGAATTTTTTCAATACCAATTAGACATATTAGGAGAAAGTGTGACTTATTATGTCACTGATAGTATAATCAAAACAGGATGTCTATTGGGAGATTGGACCGATGAATTAGGTAAGGACGGCTGAATTGTTGACTGGGTATCAATAGGCCAAAGAGTTATTGTTATAAGACTAATACACGTAAAGTTGCTTGTAAAATAAAATGATTTACACTAAATTATGAAACGTCCGAAATAATTAATTCCGATACTACGTATAAATAATATTTTAGAAAACAAAGATAATAAAATCAGTACGCAATACCATCGAATAACTAGAGATATTAAAACTAAAGAACTTAAAAATAAAATAGAAATAAAAGAATTCGATTTTGTTTATGACAAGAGAGTAATTCTAGAAAATGTTGATGCAATACCATTTGGATACTTTAATCCTTTTCGTTGTTAATTAATAACGAATTAATTCCAAACTTTATATCCCTAAATTTAAAGGAGAATGATATCTATACAATTCAATTAAAAATAAATGATCAAGTTTTTGAAATTAATCTTGATGGAGAACAAGAATTTGAGTCGTGACCAATAGAAAATACTATCAGAAAAATGAATAAGGTTTTCAAGATAACTTTTTAAAACAACATTGTTTTTATCAACTGTATTTTATTTTTATCACTATATCTTACTATAGTTTTAAAATCTGATTTTGGCTTATCAGTCGTCAGTTTCAAAAAAATAAGACAGATATGCCCACACATATTTGATAATTTGGGCTGTATTCTTTTTCATTAAATGCAACTACATTGTTTTAAATAAATTGTTGTTTTTTTATAAAATATTTTTTGATTTTTTGGCCACTAGGATCAAGATAAATTACAGTATCATTTAGAATTATATAACAAGTGGCATCATGATAGTTGGACAAAACTGCACACTCATTTTTTGTAAAAGTATATTCAAATTTATTTTTAAAATTGTTAATTTTCAATTTCTTTGCATTTCTTAGAGTAAAATTTTTATCCGTTGGAACAACAAAAAATTTGTTCAGCTGTTTGTTGTATAGACTTAATACACAAACACAAGTATTGTTTTTTATAGCTTTTTTTGCTTTTGCTTCATTTTTTTTTTTTTAATTTAATTGAGGTGTGTGATTTTCTGCATAATCATTGTAATGAGCTTTAGAAATTTTCAGTGTTATACTCTTATTATTGTTCCAGGCGTCTATTTTTTCTTGATTCTTAGTTAATTCTGTTTCCATTTAATTAACTTTCTTTTATCTCTATGTTGAATTATGAAATAATTCCTTTCTAAATTCTACGTCGAAAAGATACAAACCTAATTTATTAGCAGGTAAAGTAATAACTTACTTTGTTAAATATACCTTAATACATCAAATATTTGGTTCTTGAAACAAGCATTGAATTTCATTGGTTCCATGTGAATCCTGTGGAAACGTGGTATAAATCCTTAAATTTTAATTATTTTCCGATGGTGAATTTTTTAGCCGAAATCGAATTTTATATTTCTTCCAAACAAGACAGAATCCTTAAAATTTGGATTTTTTTTAAAAGGAGCCTTACAAACAGGGTAAAGTCGATAAAAATGTAACTTTTTTAAATCTTTGAAATATTTGCTTAAAAACGGGATAAATCCTTAAAAAAGTGTTGTGTTGTGAAGGGGCCCTACAAGTAATCAAATTGTATGAAATTTGTATGCAGCCCCATCAAGACATTTCATGGTACATGAAAGACCGCTAAATTATACCTATTGTACGCTTAAAACAAATTAAATAAAACGTTTTCCGTCATAAAGTTATCCTGTCAGCATGCGCTAGCTGAACAAAGCTTCAACAAAATCCCACTTCTTTATTCGGCGACATTTCCCACCGTCCTTAACAGAAAAACTTGTTCCAGGTTTGAAGATGACCTCCGATTCTGTGGCGGCGGTTAATTGACGAATAAAGAGAGATGAAAAGTGATAAGAATGCGTCGTCAATAGGCCGGTCTTAAATCGAGTGAATGATGAGCGGAGCTCCGATACCGGATGTCCAGTTCAGCGCACCCTTCATAGATATCCCGCTGAGCGGCGGCAACTACAGTGCCACACCAGGACTTCAGGGCACACACACAGTCATACTTCCACCTCTGAATAAAGGAGCTCAGCCGACGTTAGCCGCCTTTGACGTCAACTCCTCAGAACTATTGACGACACCGACGCCGACGCCGACTGGTGTTAATTCGTTCTATTTCTACAAGGTAAGAACTAGCAAATTCACTAATATTGCCAAAATAGTCCTGGCGAGCTGAGGGGATATTTGGAATAAAATTGTAGAATGAACGAGCACAGGACAGGGCAGTTGAACTTGACGTTAAGTCGCTACAATGGACATAAGGGAGTGAAAGTGATAAACTACTGGAAACTACGTTTCTTACATTCCTCTGCTCTTGGTATCGGGTGATCATTTAAATCTGGGAGGTATCAAGTGACAAAAGCGGATGTCACACATTGTTACCTCTAGTACTAGATTAACCTGTCATCGATTTTAAAATAATAATTTAATACCAATGGTAATACTGTAAAGTAAAGTAGTGCAACAAATACAGTCGGTTATGACGGGCCCAAAAACAATGAATCTTTTAAAATACATATATAGTTATTTGCAAAAAGTCAACATTTTAGTGTCTTCAAAATCTTGTCAGGCTAGAACAAATTCTATGTATAGAAATTATGGAAAATTATTTTCGACCTACTAGTATCAAAAATACTAATAGAAGAGCTTTCACAAATGATTCGTAGATTCGAGTGGGCAGTGATTTGTTCCGCCTCTTTCGGAGCAACGAAACTTCAAATGTCATCAATTCATCATTGTTCTGACATATGACATATTAATATATTAATTAAAATTTAAAAAATGTCTACCATTACAAAGACGTGGCCAGTGTTAGGGACAGATACTTTTAAAAGTATCTAGATACAGATTTAGATATATGGAAGATAAAAGTATCTAGATACACATTGTTTTCGATTTTTTCGAAATGTATCTAGATACAGATACAAGAAAACAGATACTTTTTGAAGCTTTGGCGAATAAAATAACTGAAAACAAGTTTATGTATTTTTTTATGTATTGTTTAATGAATTTTTTAAAATTAACAACATTTCGAACATATTGTCACCTAAATTATTTCTTCTTGGTGTCAGAATTTGGTTTCCGCTACTAAACACCCGTTCAACAGGTGCAGAAGAAGGGATTGTGGTATTAAATTTAAAAAATAAACAGTTTACTGTAGCATATTTATTCAAGACTGAAAAATCTTTTCTTTTTTCCTGCAAGTAGGCCATCGTTTCGCTGTTTGATGTGTTGCAAATTGTGCAATATTTATTACGTAGGCTTAAAAAGAATATTTTTTTCGTTTTTATTCCCATACTACAGTGTCCAAATTGTGTTTGAGTATATCTAATAATTATCTCCAGCATTAAAATTAATATTTCAAAAGAATACGGGAAATGATTATTCTGTGCTGAAGGTCTGTTGTCGGCAACCTGTTATAAATTATTATTCTTCAATATCGGCTTACGATGTTTTTATGACCATGGCCGGTAATCGTCTATCCCGGTGCGGCAGGTATATACATTTTAAGAAGAATTGTTGGTTCCGTTGAAGGCAAAATAAGTACAATTTCTTAGAAAGGTATTTAAACCCCTTATAGGATCATAGGCTGCCTGGCAGGCCTGAATCACCAGAGTGCAACTTTAAATTTTCAGATTTTTGTTGAAACTCATTTTATTTTAATCTCGTTTCACGATTTCTGAGAATATATGACGATAAATTATTCTACCGAGGGTTGTAAAAATATTAATTTTATTGCCCAAGATTTACACTTAAACATGATCGGCACATTCTAGGGCAAAACGGACCTGCCAAGCCCGCCTCGCGTTAGGTCCAACAATGAAAAAGTGAAGAAATGACACATATGGCAACAGGAAAAGATGCTACATTTGTCTGAAAAATAAAGGTATAAAACAGTAACAAATATGCGATTTATGTATGTATTGAACATTAGATTAGTCGATTACAGAACTAATTTGTGCTAATTGAAAGAATTAATCATTATGTAACACGCAATTATTATTTTCTAAAAATAATACCATACCTTAAACAAATATTTTTACTATTACCAGTACTCTTATTTAATAACACAAATACAACCAGCGGGCCTACCGGACCCGGGTTGCTCAGGCACACAGATAAAATGCATTGCCCCGATAAGCGTAAAACGCAGTGAATAGTGAATTGTGGTTTATGGTTTTTATAATACCATCTTACCATGGCTTAGATTTATTATCCCTCAGGATTATATTTAAAGATGTATTAGTACTGAAGGCTACAATGTAGGAAATGATGTTATTTAAAATATGAAAATTTCCGTGACAGAACACTATTAATAATAATATGTTTAATAATAATATGTTTATTGCCCAACAGCTCATATGAACCTATTACAGAGCAATTGACACAAACTAAAGTATTATCAATACAAAAAAAGAAAAGTAAATAAATAAGTACAAATAAATATACCGGATACCTGAATAATAATTATTAGTGGACCTCTTACCTCTATTTTTGTTTATGTGACCAAAATCACCAACATGAAGTATCAAAAATTACTACTAGTATAACTCAACTAATAACTACTGAAAAAAAAGTGAAATAAAAAATGTATCTGTATCTGCGCCATTAATTTTGTATCTAGATACAGATATTTTGTGCTTAAATTCGATTTTATCTAGATACAGATACTAGATACCCAAAAATGTATCTAGATACTTTATTTAGATACAAGTATCTAGATACTGCCCAACACTGGACGTGGCATTTGGAAATTTCGTAGGTCACTAGATGAATTTATGAAAGCCCTATATAGTGAATTTTACACAGCCCTTCTAAATTAATTAAAAAGGATTATATCTTTGTATTTAGCCGCTCATGTAATAATTTTGACCACAGAATTCCAAACTATGGTTTTTATAGTTTTATTATTTTTCTTTATAATTTTGTATAAATAAATAAATGCAAAAAAGTGAATTTAGCAAGTATAAACTGATTTAAAAATCAAGCCTAAAGATGTTTTACGATGCTTAAACTTCCTCCATAGATTGCATATTATACTGTACTGAGTTAAATCAAAGACTTGTTATCTGTAAAATGTCATGCAAAACAAATACCGCCAATTTGCTTCGCAAAAATATGATATAAAAAAATTTGTCTTATGGTGTTAAATAGAACTTGTAGCAAACAAATACAATGTTTTTAGAAAAATGTATAGATAACACTATTGACAATGTAAGAAAAAAAATTATGGGCTACTCTATTTTCTTAAAGGGTATGTCTTTCACCAATATCAGTCTTGTCTTAACAAGTACTGGCCCCGCCCACCCGCCCTCTGTTTCTTAGAGGGTACGTCATGCGCCAAAATCACTCTTATTTTAGCAAGTAAAAATATTAAAGAAATGAAATAGAAGAAATAAAATTGGTGGTTGCTTCAAATAGTTCAGTAATTCCTAATTATAAAAAAGGATCTCAAAAATAAGTTTCAGATTGACAACTTTTTTCTTCTTTTTTTTTAATTTTTGAAGAAGTGCCATCTTTTCTCCAATTACATATATTGAATTAAATGATTTTATCTGACTAATGTTGTTCAGAGAGAGTAGGTACGTTACTTCAGAAAATTTAAAAATACACGAAAAGTAGTAAAGTAGTTTATTTTTATGCATTTGTATTATTTGAACAAGTAAGTATTGATTTATATTTGTTTATATTGACCCTTACGTTTGTATAGTTACACATTTAACTGTTTTGTAAATTATACGTTCTACTTTATGGCGACATTTCTAAAAGAAATCGAAAACTTTCTGAGCTGCAATAGCCTGTCACAAATAGTACGTAGTTGCCTTCACTGATTTAAGAATGACAAAACGTCAATTACAAATATATGCTTTTAATCAGACGGATTAAATTCAGGCGTAATGTGGAAATACTACTTGATGTTGGGTTATTACAATCTGTCACTTATTGGGCTTTTACCACCGGTGTTTTGAGGTGGTGTACTCTGGTTGTATAAATGCATGAATGATGAACGATTATTGAAATCCATAAACCAGGCCAAGACGAAACGAAACATTGTTAGGTTAAAGGACGAACAGTCACAAAACAGAATGACGAACACCGCTGATCCTATGACCAGTCAAGTTTTCTCCCTCCAAAGTAACAAGGACCTGGACGCTTTTACATCTAGTTTTATTGATGTGTTTTTCTTAAAGTATTTCCACTCTACTTGTCATATGATAGGTCAGTCGGTTTGTCTTCGTTTGTGAGCTGACTGTGCGTAAGTCTTGTGGCTCCGCAATAGTTAAATGGGGGAGTTTTTAACAAAAATAGTAATAATATTGGTACATTATATATCTGTTTACCGAAAAGATGGAGTGATCACGTGTCTGCACAGGGAGCGTCCAAGCATACACGATAACATCAAAATTGAATGTAAAGACTTCGTTAGAAAAAATTTTTCTGTTTATAAATGTGTCTTTCCTACTTCTTTCCCTCGTAGCCCGCGATAATCTAAATAATATTAAACAACCATCAGTAATTGGCAGTCTAAATTTATTTCAGACATTTCAATAGAAACGTTATTATTACATGGTGACTGGTGACACGTATTCAAAATGCATTATATTGTGCTTGCGGATATTTTAGTCACTTAATAACAAGTTTTAAATTTTTAATTTAGAAAAAGGACATCTGTTTGACCCAGATTTAACAGAAGTATGAATTAATACTGAATGAAAAAAAAATGCAAGTTGATTCAAATTTTTTTTACAATTCCAAAAATTATTCATCATCATCACTATCAGAGAAACTAAATTCTGTAATTTATAATCAGAGCCTCCATTACAAAAGAAAGTAAGAGTCTTTAAAAAGACTGTGTTACATAAAATATCGAATAAACGATTAAAAAGGCTCAACGATATTTCAAATTTCTCAGTTTCTTCTATAACGCGATTTATAATATGGACATTGTTTTTTTGTTATATTTCAAAACTGGTATAACGGACTAATCATCCCATTAATAATAATATACGTAACAAGGTATTGAGTTATTATTATTAAATTGTTACTTGTGTGGGAACTAGTGTTATTCCCGTTGAGGCCATTTTTTTTAATTTAGTTTTTATATAATATGTTCTCGTATTACAT